CAGGGCCCCTTTCCCAGGGGGGGCTGAGGGCCAGCTCCCTCCTCCGGCTGGCAGCCAACCTCGCACAGTCCCTCCCCACATCCTTCCCCTGGCCAGCAGGCCCTGATAGGCCCAGTCTTGATAGTCCTGGCCCCAATCAGCCCTGATTGCCGGGCAGGCCTAGGGACCCCACCCGTGCACGAATTCATGCACCGGGCTTCTAGTAGAAATATCATATCCATAAGGTAGGAGTCAAAAGCTCTTTCATGTCTATTTTTCAGGACATATTTAGAATATTGGGTGGGTCTGAGATCTATATTTATGCAAGTTAGAACATTTGTTCTGTCAATAAATTCTTTATGGTGTTTACTACGTATAAACCATAGAACCATTGATTCAGGATAAATAATTTCATAGACTTTAGGAGAATAAGTTAATAATCTTTATTGTTATATATTCAGGGAAACTCAGCTAGATGGGGTTGGTAGAAGAAATAGCTTGTCAGAGGACAAAGGTCTGTGAAATACCAGTTTCCATGTAAGATAACTGCATTTTGGAAATAAGGCAGAACTTTGTGGGTTAAGAACATGCAAAACAGTAGGGAAGCAGTTAAAGGTTTAGGCACTACACTAGAATTATATTTATTTTTAAGAATTACTCTAGTTATAAAAGTAATAATTTCCTTTCCTTCAGGTACAAATTTATTTCTAAAACATCTAATTTCTTTGACATTAGAAAACTCATTCATTACAGCATTAAGCATACTTATTTTTCTTATTTGCCTTTAGTTCCAAATTAGCTACCAGGGTTTGACTTTAAAGCTGTGAGAGGAAGGAACAAATAAAATCTAGCAATAAAGCTTTTGTGAGTTATGCAAAATTCAACAAATTCAGCAATATATATATATATATTTTTTTTTTCTTTCTTTCTTTTTTTTCTTTATGGAGAGTGGAAGAGAGGGAAAAACAGAGAAACATCAATGTGGGAGAAACACATCGATTGGTTGCCTCCTGCGTGAGCCCTGACCAGGGCCAGTCTGGAGGGAAGCCTGAAACCAAGGTACATGCCCTTGACTGGAATCAAACCCAGGACCCTTTGGTCCGCAGGATGATGCTCTACCCACTGAGCCAAACCAAACCAGCTAGGGCTATATTGTTGTTTCTTTAATGTACTTTTGATTGTGCTTTAATGTACTAAAGATTTAATTGTACTTTTCTGGTATTTTTTAACATTATTTCAGCGAACTTCATTGAGCAAAGTTAAATACAGTGTGGAAAGAAATGCCTAAAATATTTCAAACTGAAAAGCACTAAAAGAAAAGGAATGGAGCATGCAGATCTCTGATCAAGCTCTCTTGGACCTTCTGGTCTAGTGAAAGGAGAGGTCAGTAGTGCCTTTAAACCCAGAAAGCACTCACCACTCCCCATGTCCCTTTACTGAACCAGTAGATCATTTTATCAATTGTGTATTCATTTTTACCAGATATTCTTCTTTCTATGATGTGCTAATGTTTTCCTAGGTGTTGAAAATACAAAGAAGAATTCAATGGCCCTTGCCATTAACTTTTTCACAGATTTGTCTGCAGGGAAATAAACAATTATGATATCAATTCCATAGCAAAGGCGTGTACACTCCATTGCACATTAAATATAGGAGGTAATAGAAGAGCACACACTCATTGAGAAGGATGATCAAGGAGACTTTCAGGAAACCCTGACTTGCCCTAAATCTGAAAGTATAGGAGTTATCCAGAGGAGCTGGTGGAGGAGACGCCTGTTAGTAGTAAAGATACTACAACTTCACAGATGCACATGAAATAGCTAATGCCTCAGGGTATTGTCCTGGACTGTTGCAGAAGACTGGAGAAAAACCAAGCCACGCTTAGAGAAAAGGAGTTACATTTTATTATAAAATTCTGTGCAGGCCCAGAGAAAAATGTGTCTTTCAAATTCTGGGCCCCCAACATGGAGGAAACTCTCTTTATTTATACTTTTTCTAGTCCTTTGTCTCCCAAATTTGAAATGAGACTTCCAGGCCTTCTGAGAAAGAAGGCCTGTGTGCTGGGAAGGGGCCATGAGACCATATCTCAAGGCCTGGCCTGGTGTCAGCACTGACAACTCTGTCTGGGGCATAGTTTACGGCCTCTCTGGAATGGGCGTGGTCTTCTTTTCCTTATTATTTAAGACAGAAGCCATACTATCAGGGTTGAAATTTCACACAGCAATTTTTATATAAGATGGATGCTTCAGGACTAAAAGTTTATTTCAATCTAATCAAGATTGAATTTAGAGGCCAAAATATGGCTGAGGCTACAAGTGGAAGGTAAGTGCCAGAGGTGCAGAGAAAGGAAGGATGCACATGCTGGAAATCAGGCAGGGACAAAAGTTGTTAGTGTTTCAGTTTCTTTTTTTATTTGTTTGTTGCTATTGTTCTTTTCATTTGTTTCTTTCTTTGCTGTATTTTTGTAGTGGGCTTTTACATAATTTTAATACTCCAGAGTGGCCTTACAAAATGGGAAGGATTATCCTATATAATAAAAGCCCAGCAACCAAAATGGCAGAATGACCAGAATGACCAGAAACCAGAACGACCATGGCCCCTCACCCCAGTCAGCAGCTCCCCAGTGAGCGGTTAGAGGTGATCAGGCAGGCAGGCAAGCAGTCAGGAGAGATCAGGGAGGCAGACAGAGTGGTTAGGGACAATCAGGCAGGTTGAGGCAGTCAGGGGCGATCAAGCAGGCAGAGTGCTTAGGAGTGATCAGGTAGGTAGAGGTGGTTAGGGGCAATCAGGTAGGGAGGCGAGTGGTTAGGGGTGATCAGGCAGGCAGACAGAGTGGTTAAGGGCGATCAGGCAGGCAGAGGTGATTAGTGGCAATCAGGCAGGGAGGTGAGTGGTTAGGGGCGATCAGGCAAACAGGAGAGCAGTTAGAGGCCAGTGGTCCCAGATTGTGAGATGGATGTCCAACTGCCGATTTAGGCCTGACCCTCAGGGATCCCTGCAGGGTCGGACCTAAACCAGCCGTCAGACATCTCCCAAGGGGTCCCAGATTTCAAGAGGGTACAGGCCGGGCTGAGGGACCCTCCCCCCCCATGCACGAATTTTATACACCGGGCCTCTAGTATTTTTGTAAAACTTGCTTAAATTTTCCATAATGCAAAAGAAGAGAAAAATGATGAAATTTTTCCTTATATAAAAGAGCAATATTGCCCATACCAGAATCTCATTTTTCAACTACCACGGTTGTTTCTGCCTTTCTCTTTTAATTTATGTAAAGAGAAATGCAGAGACGGCAGAAATGGGGTAAGAAAACCTTGTTAAACTTTTTCAACAATCCATGTTATAATGTTAAAAGCAATTACTTTTGCTGTCAGCAGTAATAAAATTTACACCATCAGAGAGTACAAAAATCAAATGTATTTCTAAGAATTACAATATAAGCTGCATGCAAATAACCCCACAAGTTCTAAGGGCTTGTCTTCCCTTATTTGTACAGTGGAGGTTTCTGTTGTAAGATGTTGAGGGATTTTTTGTTGTTGTTGTTGTTTTGTTTGTTTGTTTTTTGTGGGGGGTTTTTCCCCTAGAAGCTGGAGAAGGATTTTCCCATCAATGTCCAATTTCAATGGAAAACAAAAGTCTGCTAATGACCACCATCTTGAGGGGAAATATAATTGGTGTGCTTTTACAAAAAGATATA